TTAAAAAAATTCTCCCCCTAGTGGTAGAGTACGTATTAACCAGCTTTGCATTAGTTCCTATGGGAACTAATGCTTCAATGTACGAACGCACCTCTACATAACAAAAAAACAGCCAGAACGGATTAATTGGTTTTCAGTCCATTCCTATGGGAAATTTTGCTTCAACTTAAGAATGTTTCAACTTAAGAACACCATTGCAAAATGGATTAAGTTCTTAAGTAGAGGTTCCACTGTAGTTTCTATGGACGGAAAAGAGCAGATACGGATTAAATGGTTTTCAATGCATTCCTATGGGAAATGCAGATTCAACATAAGAACTTTTCAACTTGAGAACCACATTCCAATACGGATTAAGTTCTTAAGTAGAGACCCCACTGTAGCTTTGTGTTGTTATACTAAAGTAGACCCACTGACTTGGTGGGGATTTGGTAAATCAATTTCTCTGTAAGTTCCATTGATTCAAATTGGCCTATTCTAGTTGCAACTTGCTGTGCTAAAATAAGCTGAAATTAGGCAGGCCCATTTGAAGCAACTGAGCTTATGGAGAAGTTGACTCACCAGAGACCCATGAATTCAAGTGACCTACTCTAGTGTAACTTACTGTGCTAAGCAACTGGATTTCAGCAACTATTTCATGCTCTGCATGAACTATGACATTTGCTACCAACAAGATACAATGATGATCACTAATTTGGCTATCTTTAAAAAGAAAATGCTTACTTATAAAGCCCTAAACGGTTTAGGACCTCAATATCTGGCGGAACGCCTTCTCCCACCAAGATCTACCCGGGTCACTCGTGCGAGCCAGGAGGTGAGGCTGAGGAGCCTGACGCCGAGAGAGGCCCGGAATGAGAAGACCAGAAATCGGGCCTTCTCGGCGGTGGCTCCTCGCCTATGGAATAACTTACCTCCTGAGATCCGCGCCGCTCCCTCGCTGGGTATTTTCAAGAAACAATTAAAAACACTTATGTATAGGCAGGCCTTCCCAACAGCTAACCCCTGACGATCTTTCTTTTTCTATATCATTTTGACTTTTATTTTTATTAATTTATAATGTTTTTAGATTTTATTGCTGTGATTTGTAAGCCGCCTAGAGTGGTCGAATAAGACCAGATAGGCGGGATAGAAATAAAATAAATAAATAAATAAATAAATACTAGCAAAGTTCTGAGACATGAGTTTTACTTCTAGTATCAGAGCAGCTGACCTCTCATACCAGTTGCTGGGGAACAGGTAGTATATAAAATACTGGCAGGTTCAAAGTGTGTCCAAGAAGGTGCTTGTTGTTGATGTCCTTTCCAGGGCATCTGGTTGGATTTCACAAGAATAGAATGCTGGAGTATATAAATAAGCTTTTGGACTGATTGTATGGCATCTCTATGTTCTTATGAAGCTGCTGGGTGACTCCATTTTTAATTATAGTATGTAAAAGTAACAAAAAACTAATATGCTGAATGAATACTTACAATATTAAATTAATTCCTATTTTTCCCCAAGCCTGAAGTTTTAACTTAGTTATAAATCACAGCCACTATCTATTTGCATCTCAGTAAATCTTCAGGGCAAGAACAGATGTGGGAACTAGTTTTTGTCTCACTGAAAGCAATTAAGATTTTACATGCTCCAATGCATTACAGTTTTTTAATTATTGGGAAAGAATATCAGCCAGCTGTGAAAAACAAACCAGCATGCCATTTTACTTAAAGCAGTGCAGTGTGACAACAATGGGACATTCAAAATATGCCCAGCATGCCCTAAAACACATACGCAAACAGACCTTTAGCAAGCAGTTCTTAAATTAAAGAGAGATCCATTATCTATCATTTTGTTGGGCTACTGAAATCCCATGGTCTAGTCTTCATTATAAGAATTTCTCTGGATAAGTCAGGAACAATGAGAAACAGTGCACAGTGTTTCCTGTCAAAATGCCTGTGTCACTGGGTGTATAAAATACTGCTTCATCTAAGGTAGACAAGATAAGCTGGGCTTTCATCCTCCTGAGCCCACCAACTGTGACAGACTAAACACCCCAAATCCCCTTCCTGATGCCATCAGAAGTTCCTCTGTCAGTATGACATAGCATAAGTCTTTTGATTATGAAATGTCCTGTTTCTACAGCCACAGGGGTGGGGGAGCAGGAAAGGTCTGAAAATTCCAATCCTTAGTTCCCATTTTTTCCTTTGAAATCAGCTTTTATCTCTCAGCTACATATTAATGCAGGTTCTTGAACCAGAAATCAATGCAAGTTCTTGAACCAGAAACAATTCATGCACATACACTGAAAATTTATCCCTATATTACAAGAATAACTGAAGCACACACTATGCTATTTTATAACAGTTCAATTGCCATAGCTCGCGAGAAACACTTTGTGGAATTTACAGCTAGAGAAGAATGCATAATTTAAGATTTATCTCAAGAGAAAGAGAAGGAGAATTAAACCTGTAGTAAAGAGGCACTGGCTTGCTATTTAACTGATTTGGGCAAGGGGTCCCTTTTAAAAAAAACTTTCCTATTTCTAACATATTATGTATGCTTAAGTGAACAGCACAAAATCTAAGAAGCAGCATTCTTCTAGTCCAGGAGTTTGAGGGTGTGAGATGTAAGGCGAGAGTGTAAAGACTCGCTGGAGTGTCATCCTCACTCAATAAGGAACAGGAGGCACAGACAAACCCGCCTGCACCGCCCATCGAGACCAAACAGCGGGGAGTTGACACCCGGGAGTTGGAGCGGAAATTGTAAAAAATGACAGTGGCCACCCAGGCAGGGGGTGAATTGGCGAGAAAGGAGTAAAGGGGGAGGTCCTGTTGTGGAGGCAGGAATGGGAGATATAAAAAGAGAGGTGGACTTAATATGGGGTGTTTGTATTGGGAGATGATATGGGTAGAAGACCTTTGGACCGGTAAATGGGAAAAGGTACGGGTTCCCAGGGAAGAAGCAGATTACTGGAGAAGAAAGGGGCTACCGCACCGTCCTTCCTACTGGGGAGAGTCTGAGGCCAGAGAGTGGCACAGATAGCTCAGGGAGGAGAAAGAAGTGGGAGATAGAGAGTATGGGGTTTGGAGGGTATGGGGTTTGGAGGAATCCCAAGGGGGGGGTTATCTAATTGGCCATGGACCCCTCTACGAGGAGAGGAGGACCCCTACAGGACAGAGGCTCGAGAGGATGAGACCACCCTGCTTCTGAACCCAGATATAGAGACTTGTGAGTTGGAAAACAGTAACCTGTTTGCGAAAGGGTCTTGGGATGAGTTAAGTTGCAACCCATTTGTTAAAGACGTTTGGATACCCTCGCCGGACCTGTTGGCGACGAGAGAAAACCCAGAAGCTGTGTTCAGGCATAAAGATTTATTGTTACATGTTCCAATAAAGATCGGTTATGATTTTGCAAGGAGATTGTCTCCAGAGTCTCAATTGAATATCGGGGAGGCAAAAAACGAGGCCACATCATATTGTACACATTTTCAAGGGCTGAAAGGGGGGGGGAACAGTTTATAATGAATGAACACGTTTGCACAGTCTAACAGGGCTACCTACTTTATGACTACAGCCTTATTATTGTTAATTTAGGTATGAAATTGAAAATGCCATTAATGACATAGTTCAAATTATGTCTCTGCAGTAAAAGCTTTTCTGAATCATTTTCCCCATCAACTTAATTCAAAAACATATTCCCTCATTTAAAAAAAAGAAAAGAAGTCTTTATCTCTCTCTTTTCATTTCCAGCATATTCAGTGCAACCCTAGACATCTTCACTCTCATTTAAAGCTCCGTTAATGTTCCCTGGCATTGA